TATATATCAAAGGGTAACAAAATTTGGGCCAGGTTTTTTATTGCAGAGCAATGGCTCGAAGTGCCTTCACTTATCAAGGTTCTATTTTTGAAACCTTAGCACGTAATCTATTATAGTATTGGATAACATAGTACCCTTTTGATATATCGAAATAATTAATTAAACAAAAGATTTTTATAAGTATTATATTATAATTCTGTAGATATATACTATATACAAAATGGTTCACACATGTGATAGATGTAACAAAGAATTCAAAAAATTATGGATGCTTTATCGTCATCTTCATAATAGAAAATTTCCATGTAGACCTAATGTTATAACTCCACTAATTAGTCCTATTCAAGTACCAGATCCTTTACCTGAAACAAATCCTATTCAAATACCTGATCCAATTCAAGATCCAGAAATTACACCTGTTATACCTCCAAATTTATCACCCAAAGCTAGTAAACAAAAAACAGATACATCAACCCCACAACGTACCAGATTAACTATCAATAAACGTCCAGATGAAAGTGAAAAAGAATGGGCAATTCGTCTTGCAGATAGATCTGATAAGGTTACTCATATAAAGCAAAATCGAAGCTGGTTACGTAGGAGAGGTGAAAATTTTAAAAGCTGTATAGAAAATAAATTCTTATCTCTTTTACAAACAGACCCAGAAGTGTGGCAGGAAAGAGAACGAATTGGGGGGTATACTATAGAAAGAAGGTATGAAAATGGAGGTATAGTAACATATATTTGTCCAGATTTGGATGAGCTAAATGAGGTTAAAGATAATATCAAAAAATTATCACCTCATTTATTATTGCGAAGTAATGTCCCTTTGGATCCATCAAAACCATCTCCAGAACCAATTCCACAAATCGACTCAGAAGCAGGACCAGGTCCATCAACTCAAGCAAATAGAGAGGAGGTATTAAAAAACAATTCTGTTAATGAATCAAATATTACCCAAGAAGAGATCGATTTACTTATTGCATTGGGTTTAATAGAAGAACCAGAGATCGAAGAATCCTGGCCTGAATTGGGAGGTACTCTTTTAGCAGATAAGGCAAAGAGTAAAAAATTTAAATCTCGCTATAGAGATTCAGGATTTGATAGTATTGCTGTTAAAGCACCATCAGGTGATATACTCTTTGAAGAGACTGAAGTTGGAGATCCTGATAGACCACACTTAAGTTTATCTTCATTAAGTAAATGGCAGGCAATTGTTCCGTCATATGAAAATCCTGCATATGATTTCAATGCACCAATAGATGATCCCGAAAAATATGCAGAAGCTCCATATATGCCCCAGCTTATAGCTTCAGCTCGAGAACAAATTACAAGTGTACTTAAAGCTGAACTTCGAAGAAAAGATCAAATAAAATCAGCAATAGTGGTATACTGCAATTATATGAAAATGGAAAAGAAAGGTGAAGGTAAGGTAGCAGTTCCATTTTATATTCAAAGTCATCACAGAGGAGAAATGCGAGCTATTCTTTCAGAACAGGATATAGATGAGCATATTACTCTTTCAGCTGGAGAAATTGATGTAAAAATAGAAGAGTTTTTAAGAAGTGGATCAGGATGGACATTAATCCGAATAGAAATGATTTATATTGAGGTCTATGCATATAGAAGAGCTGTTGGAGGATCATTCAAACCAACACCCAAAAATCTTGCCAATACTAAATGTACTATCAATCCAGATAACTCTAAAACAGGAGATGATATGTGTTTAAAATATGCATTTGGTCCATACTTTGCAACTCTTGATGGTATAACGAAAAATCTACAACGTCTTTCTGTTATTAAACCATATCTAAATATAGTTAATTTGGATGGTATTCCAATGCCAACACCTATTTGTCCTAGAACCTTTCAAAAGATCGAAGCCCAAAATCCAGAAATCTCAATCAATGTATGGGAATGGAAAGAGGAAACAGCTACTCCAAAACCAGTAATTGCTAGTAAAAATTTCTATATACCTAACTCATGCCAAGTTGCAGGTTGTGAACATCCAAGACCAAATGAATGTATGACAAAAAGACCACATGTTATCCATCTTATGGCTCTTACAGATGTTAATAAGTCTGAAGATACAGGTAAGTATGGACAAAGGAATCATTTTCTATGGATCAAAAATAAGGATGGCCTAATACGCAAAGATACTAAACATAATGATAAAAAATATCTCTGCAATCGATGCTTTCAAAGCTTTCCATCAGAGAATACTCGAGATTATCACCAAGATCATTGTTATGGATTAGGGGAAGCTCCACAAGTAGTAACCCTACCAAAAAAAGATATCAATGATAT